GCATCACCTCATACACCGTTTGCATTTTTCTAGATGTTCCATGAAGCGAACGTCAGAATGGCGAACTAAACTCGGATGACTACCGCAAGCAAAAGGACCTAAAGTCGCTCCTTGTCCACGGTGTCCCCAAGCTTCAGCATCTTAAGAGAGCTGGAGACCAAGGCGCATTATTTGGATGAATGGCGTTTCATCCGCGAAGTACCCGCACTCCAAAAGTTGATCCGTACCTCGGTCTCAAGTCTGCCATCATTGCCTGAATACAGAGGGTACGGTCCAAGAACACTAAAAGTACCACTGCAAACCAAATTTATCCAGTAAAAGTGGATGGAAAGGTGGCTGAAATTATGTACTAGCTGCTATCCGAAATACGTATAAAGTTGATAGATACCAGACAACAAATCGACCAGATGACGCTGAACATGCGACCCTTTGTTTGCCCCCGTCAGCATGCCACTTAGAACCGGCATGTGGTTAAAGTACTACAGCAGCTAAAGGATGTCCAGGTTTGCAGCCACCTACTGACGCCAAGAACTATATATGCTAACTTGGAACTGCCCCGGGACAAGCGATTATGGTTCAACAGAAAAAGACCAAAAGCCGACCTTACAAAGGTTGGCCTAATCCCCACCTAGAAGCCGCATTTACAAATACACTGTTGACATTTAAAACCGTAGCTTGTACGTCAGCGCTTAAGGTTTCGTAGTAAGTTAACTGAGCTTCGTACTCTTCACGCTTCCACATCTTGGGATATCGTCATGATAACTGAAACATGACTGAATACTACCATTACTGATGCCGAGATAATCATAACAGGCATGACTCTCCTGCAAAACGATCTATCCGCCTGAAGAGGCGGAGTGCTCTTGTACTACTGAACTGACCTCTACATCGACTTCATTGACGATCCAGCAATGCAGTTTGTTGATTCTCTCTGGTGCCGCCTGCAAATGAAACGTGGTGAAATGTGCTTACTTGCAAGTATCTACCGTCCTCCAAGGTCCACCGTGGAAATGGATCACTGCCTGGCATCTGCCATGAAGCGTATCGTAGCACGGTGATGCAGTCACATCCTTTTGGTGGGGGAATTCAACCTGCACACAACAGAAATCACAACTTCGCACCGCGAATAAATCAAATCGGACTTGCAAGAAGTAATCACTGACGTAGCGAAATACAATCACGTAACCTCCGTCACGAAATTTAGTACTGGCGACCAAGCATCTGTCCTAGATCTTGTGTTCACCAACGAGGAGCTAATGATTGATGCAATAAACATAAGTGCACCGCTTGGTCGTAGCGATCACACGATGCTTCTCTTCCGCTACATCAGTTAAGCAGAATCCATCAGCAAAAACATTGAGGATGTTCACCTTGTCACCAAATACGATAAACTCTCTGACCTCGTCCAAGTGGCTAACGGATATTTTCTAGCTGATAAGCCACCCGACATCGCCTAGAAGAGATTCTTCATCCTGTTCAGTGGGTTAGCGGCAACTGCGTCTGAAACCGAAGTCATTCGTCAGAAACAAGTGTTGTCATACCTGAAGAGCAGCTCAAAAAGTGCGTGGCGCTAAAGGATTCGGCCTGGTGCGCTTGTAGAATCTGTCCAGATGCGCAGACTTGGGACTCTCAAATAACTCGGCGAAATTAGTGTGTCAAATTAGTCCGCAAACACAAACTCAAACAACAACGGGACTTAGCGACGGAATCCACTACTAATCCTTAGATGCTCTAATGACACGTGAACAACCTCCGGAGAGTGCCGCGCGAGATCCCAGTTCTACTTGTAGCAGGTAGTCTGGCGCTCACTGGGCAAGATGGGGCGAAGGCACTTTAGTAACACTTTACCCGTACCTTCCAAAGTGAATCGTCGCAAAGCCCGGTCATAACACAGCTCACTCCGCCTCCAGGATTAAGCCACGTATTCTTCACTGCCGCAGAGGTTCTGAAATGGCTACTATTCTTACGCTTGCATAGCTCACCTTGTGTAGACAATATCAGCTTGAAGGCATTAGAAACAATCGTCATGAGCCTTACCGAACCGCTGACCCGGTGCTTTCAGCGATGCCTGGAAGAAATGCAGGTTCCAACTATGAGGAAACCGGACACAGTTACCCCTATTTCAGCAGTCATCTAATTGCCCATAACCCACTGTTCTTCAAGTGTAATCCAATTATGGCAGGAAGTATCGAAAAGCACTCATTGGATACCTTGAGAGCAAAGACATTCTAGTGGCACGGCAGCATGGATTCCGACGAAATCGGTCCTGCACTACAAACTTGAGCAGGCTAGACGACCTCAGCCAATACCAAACAAGGAGTTGACGTTGTGTACCTAGAATTGTCTGAAGCATTTGGTCGCCTGGATCATCGCACGCCTCTTCATAAACTTCGAAGTCATGAAATCGGTGATCTGTGTTAAGTTGGATAAACAGCTTCCTAATTTAGTGTCAGCTGAATGTAAGTCCGAAGATCCATCTCCGACCCGATTGAAGTCCAGTGTGGTGTGCCCCAACCATCGGTACTGAGATCACGCTTGTTCCTGGTATCCATTAACCATCTCGCTAGGATGCTTGACTTAGACTTCTTACTATTTATAGAGGACGTCAAGATCTGGCATGAGAACAAGACAGTTGGCGACTAAGCAACAATGTAAATACATCTCGTCAACCCTTACACATGCTCCACCGAAAGCCGGATCCAGTTTGACCTGGGGAAACGCAAAGTTTTGAGCGTACACTATCGGTGTACTCACAAATATCGACTGCGAGAGCATCAGGTGCATCATGCTGCGCAGGAAAGCGACCTCAGGGTAATCGTGCAGGACGAAGTTGGCTGGTCGAAACAGGCCGAGAAGGCGACGGGAAGAGGTAGTCAACCTCTTGGCCTCCTACCAAGGGCGTTCGGGAAGTTCGAGTCATCATTCTTTTCACAAATGCTGAACGCCTAAGCGAGGCCCCACGTGGAATAGGCGATTCAGGCATGGCGACCCCGGTGCAGACACGATGCTGGTTTGTGCTAGTTTGCGCGAAGGGTGACGAAAATCATTAGTGGACGGTTTCACTTCTCCTACCAACTCAACCTGCAGGCCTTAGGCTTGTACGGCGGCGAATACCGGCGCCTTCGAGGAAATCAAATTATCGTGTATCAGATCCTGACTAACCCTAGTCACGCCTGTCACGAAGCGTGGTTAGTCAGTCACAAATGCCAATCTGAGAAGCCACCAGCTCAACATGAGCACACACCACAGTCGACTTAATTGCTGATAAAACGTTTTCTCCCATCGGGTATCCTTGGAACGCTCTTCCTTTTCATGTTACTTTCGCCCTAGATTAACGCATTTTGGAAAACGATTGGACTACACTCTGCCCCATGTACATCCACGGTATAGTCTGTTTCCATCGAAGGACGAATTACACAAACAATGTGCTCACTAGCCCTCTCCTTCAAGTGGCGATGAGCAGACCATCATGTGTTCATGTGAATAACTCGGTGAGTCACTTCAAACCAACAAGTTCCTTTCTGCTGTCACTTTAAACAACAGGTTTATAATTCCATTTCCGGTCGTCCTACGCGACTTGTTATGCAATTCCTTTTTTCTTGTTATAACGCATGGTCCATTGTTCACCTGGTAGACGTTACGGTTCCTTATTCTCCTCTAGTGACTTCATTTCACTATGGGATTAATAACCGCGGCCTAGCTTTGCACACTCGTCTGAATAAGTCCATGTAGTTAGTTAACGGGGTCTGTTTGCCGAATGTTACTTTCTGGATTCGACGAAGCATTTGAGGTCTTGGTAGAAGCTGCTTATGTGCATGCATGATTGTTGTATACTTATCGCTTAAACTCGATTTAGGCCGAAGTGATCCAGCTGACCCGGTCCTGAATGTGGATGTCGAATTCACAGTGAGTACATGAGTAATAGAATGCTGACTAGTAGGGGAGCCATAGCCATTTCCTACATATCGGTTTATTCCAGATGTGTTCTTAGTTGACAGCTCCAGTCTTCCGTGTGAGAGTAACAAGTGTTTGAACAGCAAGAGGGATATGCTTAGGCGTGTCGGCAAAATTTCCACCAGACGTACAATATTCTATAACTTGTGGCGAACGGAGTATACTATGGCTAAGTTAACTAGTAATAAGGAAACCAACGGAATAGGATAACGCCAGGTTGTGCGATTGGATGTTAGGTATACTTGCGAAGATGCACCGTGATGAATGTCCTCCTATTGCATCAATAAAGGAAATATCTCGAACAGTGACTGGGACGACCCCGTGATTTATGTATCAGTCACCCAGATATTCAATAGTCTGTGTTAGCGAACATATGTCTTCGATAACTTCTCTTCAGGCTAGTACAATTCTACCGACACTGACCTGATTACTAGCGACGGTTGAGCTTTTCCAAACACTGGTTTGTCCACTTTTTAACGAGCCTAGTAGTCTCTCCGACTGATATGACGTATATAATTGTACTAGCCTGAAGGGAAATTACCGAAAACATATGTTCGCTAACACTGACTATCGTTTATCTAACGAACTTCTTTAAAAATGTAAAACGTAACTTCGACCCGCCTTGGTTGAAACTGCTTAACAGATTTATGAAGTGTCATTAGGAAATTGCATCCTTTCTCTGTAGATCTTCCAATCAACTATAGAACACTCCGCTTATTATAGCGGCGCTTTGTTTGTTATTGACACAATGCAACTTCTCTACTATTGCGAAGTCTGAATGATGGTTTTCACCGTACACTAACAGCTCTGTCGACATCACTAGCTGAAACGGAAGGGCTGGCTCCACCGAATCACACAAACACACAAACTTGATGACTAGATGAGGTTTAAACATCCAACATACCGTCTCTTCGTGATTCAGTATAACCACTTTGTCAATTGCTTTTTAGCGTGTACTTCGGCCGCGATCTTACAAAGCTGATCACGTGCCATGCCTTGGCAACCACGTAACTGTGAAGGTCGACTGATTATTTCAGAGTCAGCACAACCAACGTCACTTATTTGAAGTGCAGTTCAGCACAACCAGCTTCGATGAAGTGTTCCGCACCACACGTTAAGCTAACACGAACAGTGATTGTGGAGGAGAATGACTGTGAGCAACGTAACAGCAAGGTGATCACAGTAAAGAGTGGTGTTCCACGCGTTTGTGAGACACGGGAATTTCATACTTGGATGAAAGATTGTACGGAGAGCAGAGAGGAGTCCACAGAGAAGTCCCATATTTTTCCCGACGGTGATAAAGTGACCAAAAAGGACGGTGATAAGGTCGAATGTAGTTACTTTGATCGTTCGGAGACCCATCACACCACTCATTCAAAAAACGACCTATGAGAAACGAGGAGACCATTCTTTATCCGGCGTCCAACCTCAAAGCGGTAGAAAATATGATGTAATAATAGTTGCTGTCATTTTATTACTTTGTTTACTATCTCCTTGTTCTTCCAGCAATATCAAGATATTTGGGCTAGCCATCGCACTTATGTTAAAGTCAATTCCTTTACAGCTTTACTGGCATGCTATATGAAAATAAGGATTTTTAATCGCCTACTAACCCGTATGCCCTAAAGGTTTCAAGTGGAAGAGAGGCTGGAGTGAATGGATGAATCCTAACAGTCAGTTCCACACAATCACAATTGCTTTCGACGGAAGCAACTGCTCAGACTTCACCGTACTAGTGACACCTAAAGTTGATGTTAGAAACGTTACCCAGGGAGCAATATTCATCGATCTATCTGTGTTAGTCAGGTGGTCAGTAGGCCATCTGGTGGCATCAGAGCTGGTATGTGACAGTGAGAAAGTGCAGTACTCAATTGAAAGGCAGGTTCCTCCAGCTCAACCAGCTGAAATAATCAAAGTGATCTTGTCCCTTGTGGTCATACGATTTACAACTAAATGAAGCTAGATTCCTTTCATTCGCTTCGTAGCCATAAGTTATTGTGGCAAGCTTCTGTTTTTCGATATAAAGGCAACCCTTAACATAGTCCGTATATTGATAGGGGTGAGATTTGCATACGTAGGTTGGCCTTGCGGTGGAGCTTAAGAGGCGGTGTCTGTCGTCATTTGGTTTCCCGAGAATCCCACGCATTATTATGTGCGCGGCTGTCGATGGCTACACTAACCCAGAGACTTTCGGCCTTAGTCCGCTTAAGAAGATGAAGAAAGTCTCAATCTTCATCATGACCCTTCATAGTGGATCATCGGCTGTAGTCGAAACATGTTTCTACTATTGCTGCTAGTACTGGGTGGCCTACTCCACAGGGGACATCATGCTTTCACTAAGTATTCACGGAAAGTGGAATTGCAAAAGCTAGGCCTACGGATTCCCAGCTAGATTACAGGTTAGATTACCCCGAACTGTTGAGATTTCGCTCTGAACTAGTGTCTGAGAATCAAGTTACCAGGAGACTGTCTGCTATAGGCAGTATGCAACATATCTGTATTACAACAACAAAAGCAACGTTGATCGGAATAAATTAAATTATCACGTATATTCTCGGTCAGCTGCTTAAGTACAGTTCGGTCAACGAACACCACTTGCCCGGATATCACAGACTCTACCGATCGACATCTGTTGCTTATCGGGAATCTTGCTCTAACTACCGAGCTCTGCTCAACCTACGATACTCTTCAAGTGACACTGGGGACAAGTTTTCATTACGATTGTCCTGATATGACATAACTTAAATGCCGATCAAGCCGGAGGTGCATTTTCTCTGATCCCCCGGACTGAATCTATTCTGTTTGACTGGAACACCATCAGAACTGGTTGTACCCACAGATTTTCTGACTTGTTTTTAAGATCCGAATTCGCGTGGGGCCAGTGGGTACCTATTTGTCATTGCTGCCTATGCCACCCAAACTGTAGTGCTGACTCGGTGAAAACTTCCATCGCCAACTGAGTGAGCTCTAGCGTCACAGCAGAAGTACTGATGTTGTAGCGTTGGCTTGTGACCTGAACGCTCAAGTTGAGAAACCATCCACTGATGAGTTGTATTTAGACGGAAAACACCTTGTAGGCTCCCATAACTACAACCGTGGGTGATAACTACATTGGTGTGAGGACAGTTGGCTAATTATTGAGAGTACTGACTTCCAACACAGCATCCGACAGAGAGTGATATGGCTCCTACCACCATCGGATCAGCCATGGGCGGAAATCGATTTCGTCTCAACCAGCTAGAGTTAGAGAGGTTGGGTCCAAAGCTGTCGTTCGATTTGGACTACCAGCGTGGACTCCAACCATGCACTTGTGTGCGCTGATCTACAAGAGCGCTTCTCTGGACCTCCGTAATGACGCTAGAGCACATTTGTACTTGCCAACTGATGACTCCGAATGTTCTGAATGTGTACCAAATGTAGTGGTACGCGGGCTGAGTAAGCATGCATTGGACACGGTTGAAGGTCACTGGACACATATCTGTCAGACATTGTCATCAGCAGGTATGTCTAGGTGTAGCAAGTCTGATTACCAATGTGGAATTTGAGCTCTACACAATCCCTAAAGTTACTGCTTGCTCACTGACGCTTTCCCGCTGAGAGTGAAAACGAAATTCGCAAAGACCTGAGAGCATGATCGCGTACTGGCCTAAACAAAAGCGCGAGGCGGGGTGTTCTTACTGTGTCTCGCTGATGGAAATGGCCGCTGCTTTAAAGGGATTTCGTTTGATACGGTAAACGGATAGCAGTAGATTGGAATGAGGGTAGACAATCCATTCACAACTTGTCAAGGCGATTGGGCGTTTTGCTAAGCACTTCGGAAAGCGATTGATTCGGTAGGAACAACCAGATTCGCTGCCAGTCAATGAACGCTGGTATCGTTCGGCTGTCCTTTTAGAGCCGCCGTCTCGCGTAAAAGCAGAAAAGGCTAACGACCAGGACCATATAGTCATTTTAATTGTCTTAGTGGTGAGCAGTCCTAAGTCGTTTGCTATGTCGATTGCTCAGCACCTGCTTGCACTATACGGAAACAACATCTTGAATCATTCCAGGTTATCAGAAACCAAGATATCTAAAACGTTCCCTGGTTTACTTTGGCTTCGCCCGACCGGCGACTGAATTCCAGCCTTCGCAAACGGCTTGACCACGTGACTAACCCGAGGGTACCATGGTTACCTGTAGGTTATGTTATTAGGGGTGCTAACTGTAATGGGTTTATGCAAACAGTACGGTACGGATTTATATGAGGAAGCAAGCGGCTAGTTTGTCGCCAGCGAACGAAGCAGAGAATTGGACGCCTACTCAGCTTCACCTATACGCTGATTGATTCGCATTTGACAGCGCTGGAGTGAGTTTGTTTGACTGAATCAGAGGAAGAATCTCGTGAATACTGCAACGTTGTTAGGCATGGAACTGACCCAGTTGTTTACAACAAGACTTCTATAAACTAATCATGTTGTCATTTTCGCTGAGACTGATTTGTCACATGAACCGTTTGTTTCTGAAGCACCCATAACTTCGACATGGTGTCAGAGAAGGCTTAGGCGAGATCGTCGAACGGTGCTCAGCTGCTGACGGGAACGCAGCCAGCTATACAAACATTTGCCACGTTGTACATGGGAGAACACCCCTTTGGCCAGTAAGCGGAGAATTTAGAAAAACAAGTGGATCGATCTCTGTGTACTTGTGTATCTGAGTGAAAAACCTATAGCGTATCATTTGGCATTGTTCCGACATACGATCGGAGACGAGGACAAAAATGAAAAAAAGACCCAGCTGATCTGAAAACAGTAGTCCGAAGATTAGGCAATTTCTGAGAGGGCCAGGCTAACGGTAGGTCTTTTTTATTCGGAACACATGCCCAAACGAAACTATCGAGCACTATGTTACGGAGCTGAAGATCCTGGCTCGTTAGTTTAATTTTTGCAATTGTGTGACTGACAGCCTCATCCGAGAAAGAACTGTGCTGGGAATCAATGATGAAAATATCATCAAGCGCCTGTTGCGGCAACGGCATTTATCGCTCAGACAATGCCTTAATATATGCTTCAGTGAACCGTCAACTACCCGCTACATGCAACAAATACGGTTGCCGTCTGATGCAACGGTATGCGCTGTATTAGGCTTGCCTTACAAAACTGCGATGCTGGTTTCCAGGAAACGAATTCATGCTAATTCTGCGCTGCGCGACGCCCGAAGGATCGTGCTCAATGTCCGACTTGAGGTTGAAGTTGCGCTAACTGTGGCAGACGAAATCATTTCGTTCGATGATGCCGGTCTTCCAAAGTAAATGCACTCAGTCGTGATCCAGCACTCCCCGACTCTGAACATTCAATCAGCAAAGTGTTACGCACGGGGACCAAGTAACTGCGTCTACGCCAGTTTAGTTGTGGGCGACAGAGTGGTGCGTTTTCAGTTAGACACGAGTGCTGCCAACAGTATGTTTCCTGCGAAGGTGTGCACAGGAATTCGTGCGCAGCCTGAGCAGAGATTTCTGCGTATATCAATAACGTAAGAAGAAACAGCATTTTAACAGAATTTACTGAATTCAGCAATTTCGAACATTCTCATCTGCTGTTTACATGGTTGGCGGCATCTGGTGTCAGATTTGCCTGTCACTGTGGTAAGCCACAGGACGTCTGCGCCTACCGAGGGACCATGGGTGGCTTGCGCTGCACCACCCACAGCTCCAACCACATACCCCATATCCAGTGTAAACCCGAAGGAATAAGACCGGGAGGCATGCGGATGAGAACCACGTTTCATCAACGGAGCCGGCCCACACTTCTTCACAGGCAAACACAAGCACGCTGCATTTGGGGAATCAAGCGCACACAAGGCGGTGGCTGGAACGCAGTCCGCTCCACACTGAATGCATGGAACCGCTCTTTGAGCCTAGCACGGCCACAAGAACTGTGCACCCCTTCCTCTCCAGCAACGACCAACTGTCTCCTGGAGCCAGTATGAACGAGGTAGTGGGTAAGCGACAGGTAGGCACGTTATCAACATGCACATCAAGCGCAGCCACATCTGGGATATCAAGCAACAGCCATTCATTTAAAACGACAAGCTGAAATAAAATAAATGCAATAATGCATAGAGATACCGTAGCATAACTCTTCGCTAAATTACCATATGAAGCAAGTTGGTTAGCAAGGAATCCGCGATAAGTAAGAAATGTCCACAAGTTACTTAAAAGTGCTACAAACGCAACAAAATTACGGATCATAAGCGCAATTAGCGTAATCAACGGGGCCAGATAATAGAACATTTTAAGGTAGGCCGAACAAACCAAATAAAGTGGAATGAAATTTATCCAGCTTAAAAAGAAATAGTTTAAGTGTAAGCTGGTTTAGCCCAACTGCGGTGAAGCAGCATCAAGAATGCAACATCAGCCTCAGCATGGGGCAGAGCTGTTTACTTACAGTTAGTGAAAAACATAGTGGGATGTTAACAGCAAAAAATTCAAAGCGGTCGAAGTTCTTAATGCTCAAGTGACCCGTTTCAAGGAAAACGCAATCACTAG